GTATATGGTTTACTTTATATAAATCTACAGGGTTCATCAGAAATGTAAATTATTAAAACATTTCCCAAAACCATTTGACTTGTAATATTTCTAGATTTCCGGTTAATCGCTTGTAGGGTAAAAAAGGAGCTCTCGATGAGCTCGTTTCTTTTGAACGTTGTTAGTCCAGTGCTATTCCAGACATTACGTCACAGTCCAATGGTCCCCACGTTCGCTGTACTCATCGGTAGCAGTAAGGCCGAAATTTCGCCTAGTCTAACAAGAAATAACGCAGCAACATTGTCGAAAAGCCGGAGGGGAAAATTAAACATTCTACATGGCCCCTTAGGATTTCGAAAACATAATAAAACGTCCCGAAGCAGGCTGGTACGCTGAATTACAATAGTTTTATGAAGGTTGACGAAGTTCTTTCCATAAAAGATTCTTCGTCGTTCACTGCAGTCTTTTGTTAAAACTGACATCCAACTGCGCCACTCCCAAAGCCAGAATCATGCTCTGCATTGTTGAAAAATTACTCAAATAAGTATGATTGACGGGTGACAGAACGCTATTTAAAGACCAGCGCTTGTTACGCTTTCCAGTTTACAGTCTGTTATAAACCAGTTAGTCATACCTAACTCCAAGTCTGTAAGCCGTAGTGTCTGAAGGCGAGTGGGATGACATGAGGGCAAATGATCCATCAGTATGCTGAGGGTCCACGTTATTTCGACTGCAACCAACAACATTCAAAATCGAATGGCAACTGTCACTGGCCCCGTCAGGGGAATTTTCGCATAACTTCTACTCTCAAATGGTATATCCCGTGTTCTCACTCATCCTTCATGCACTACCAGGAGTTTTAGTAAGCAAGCCTGACAAAGACACAGGCTATTCAACTGTCAAAGATGTCAGCAGATTACTGAACTACAATTTACATGAAAGCTGCACCGATAACAAAGGCAATGCTGCGGACTGTTATAATTAGTACGGAAACGGGAAATGAGACCACAGCGAGGTCGGGTGCTGCCTATACCAAAGGTAATGTAACGTCTAAAACGGAGCCGCCACCTCTATCGACTTACACAAATACCCTTGCGTGAGTCTTCTACGAAATTCTATGACAGGAGCTCGAGCTAGATAGATACTTAAGTCTGGTGGCCACGAAGTACCGTCTACAAACACCATGCGATTCTTACATCCCTGCGCAGTCAGCGACTCACCACAGACGTCAGACAGGACATGGCGCGGGGGTCAGCTGCAACGTCAAGGCGTTAAATAAGTGGCTGCGTGACAGCCAACTTTTATCCCCATCGGCAACATATTTGCAGGTGTCGTGAGCGACTCAACTAAAAGAGACCCCTTTTGAGAGGCAGACTAGCAAGAGGAGAGAATCAACCCAAGCGTTGCAATCTCGTCCTCATGGGCAGAACGAGAACGTGAGTAGCGTACTGTTTCGCCATCAGACAACCATTCCACGGACACAGTCGGTGAATATCTAGCAATTTTTCGTTTGGCAGTCAGTCGTTGGCTAATGTTTTAGGGACTACTAATTACACCGATTTTTTCATGAGAAGCTGAGATAGGCTAATTCTTTTAAGTCCTCTTGACAATCCTCGTAGGCAACCGTGGTGAATAACATTTCAAAAGACGCATGTTGTTACCGACAAGCGTTACCTATTTAAGTATGTACAGGACTAAAATTTATAGTCCAAAACCGATTTTACTTAAGGAGACACGTGATTGGACTTCACTCTTCACCCATATGTACTAGGACGTAGAAATGTTCTTTTATTTGAGAATCCTGCAGATTTTTATGCCTTAACGGATATTATTAAGAATATGAAGATAACAAAACTACTATTGCCAAACATCCCTTTAGGTATCCCGAGTCAGATTCATCAAAATTTCTTGAAGACTCAGATTAAACAAAATACGGCGACGAAACGAGAGAAAAATGGGGTGGGCGAACCACGATTATTTTGTCGAAAAAAGGGCAAGTCAAAAGTAAAAAAATGTATTTGCTGAAAATAGAACATATCAGGCACTGCCGCCGCCATGCAAAATATCAAACAGTATTATCCAAACGATCATAAAGGTGGCGAAGGCAGTCACAAGCCCCTCCTTGAGGATCTCACCGAAGCCTCCATATTCTTCCTCATCTACTCTCTGAAACACGGCAGCGTAGATATAAACTGCAGCCATATTGACGATAAAGAACAAAGAAATAGCCATGGCTCCTTTTAAAGGAAGAAAGCCCCATATGATGCCCGTGAGTATTCCAAATAGCTGCCGTATCCAATAGATGATGTCAAGAAATTCGTCCTTCTCAACCCATTCTGCTTCCCGTTGAAAAGCCTTTTTGAAAGTCGTCCAAGCACTATAGGGAACAACTGGTTTGGTCTAAAACACAACTCTTAGAAGGGCGAACGAACAAACTTTGGTCTCCCGCATCTACATAAACCGGTGAACCGGCCAACCAGTCACGAAACTACTTTTCGTTAACGGCGCGGAAAATATGGGTTAAAATAACACCCCTTCTCACTGTCTCGTTCTTCAAAGATATACGATTTTAATTATACAAAAGATCCCAATTCAAAGGCTTTGGGTTATGTCGGTACACTTTTGTAAGAAATCGACCAGGTTCGTAAAAGGCACTTTTCGGCCTAAATGTCGTATTTGTGATCGTTCTGCGCCAACTTTATCAAATTTGTGTCAACAAAGGCCTATGCATCGGAAAAGATCAGCGGTGACTGGAAACTCGCATTCAAGCGTCAGCCAAGGAAAAAATTGCGAATTCCAGGCTTCTTGTCGACAAACTATCGTTGTATCTTCAACAAAGCTCACGGTTTGGAGCTACATTTGCCGAAGAACACATTTGAACTGAAAGGGATTTGTCCTCAAAAGACGTGGTTAAATGGTAAAATTGATTTACAGCCAATTACTCCTCTATCTTCCTGCTGCTTTCGAACGAAATGAAAATCCTTATCTTGTGGCAGATTTGGAAGCATTGCTATTTTTGTTAATCGTAATTAGTGTAGAGACTATAAGTCCTTATTTTCTTAGTCTGCTGATTTGATAAATGTCATCGCTGTTCTATGTAAGCCCCGTTTGTTAAGCAATTTTAAAGGCATTATATCTGTTAGTATTTACATTCCCCCCTATACCTGTGAAGGTGCTCTAGCCCGTTTTTTGACTTTAACAAAATCTTGATATATTGTCCTGCGAATAGCTTATTCTCTTATGCAGTGACTTAAATCTCGTGAATTTACGACCCATCATACATTTAGGCGTTGATGATCTTGCCTTCTTCAATACTCACACTGATGCCGCTCTCGACCGCATTCTGACCAACCACAACAAGCTTTTTTGTGTTACAAATAGGGCCCAATGTCAGGTTCAGATCATTCTACTTCATAGGGTCTTCTGAAAATCTACTCCATCTCTAAAAGTGCGCTGTTAGCCAAGCGTGAGTGAAAAGGCAAGGTTCACAATGCGCCCGCACAAACCATTCGCTTGCTTCAGACTGACATATCTTATACTATCCCCGCTTTCCTTAGACAAGCAAATGTTGAATCATGTTCTTCCAACCTAACAACGCTTATAAATAAAATTTTTGATTCAGAAGTGCATATGGCGAGCTTATGCGTGCTTTCGATAAATTATCATCGGGCCTGTGCAATCATATGTGCGATCATATGTGAACAAGGTACAAACTGAGCGTGTAAGTGATAAGTGCAATCGATTACGGTTCGTCCTTTCATACAAACGGGGTATGTGAATAGCGTGGGGGAGGGGGGATAGGAGAGGAGGCAGTCAGTGACGAAGAGACTTAGGTTGAGCTGTGTCACAGGAGGTGGGTAGGGAAGTGGACGGGGAGCGAAAACCTGCATACAGTTAACCGATCCTGGCCCACGGTAGACATGGAGAGTGCAAGAGGTTCTTCTGCGAACACAGGGCCGGCCTCTGTAGCTTCATGGCAGTTGTCTCTGCTGTTTCTAGTAAGCGCTGACCCAGTCGCTTAGGGTAGTTAGGTGGGACCCTGTAAATCGCACGGAAGAATTCATTGGGATCTACACGGTGCCCAGAATCAACCATGTATGCGGGGATAAAGCAGTGTATGCTCTTAACTTCACTCTTCCTCACGCATGCCGGTAGGTGTTCTCGTATTCTTGCGGATAGGCGCCGACTCATACAAACAATGTACCCTGCTCCATAGGAACAAGTAAATGAGTAAATGCACCTTCCCACAGTGCCTCAGATCGTTCGGTAAAAGGATGGGACCACCGGGTTATATGCGCATTCACACAAATCTGCGATAAAGCCGCACCCTAGTTTCCATCATTGCACACATCCCTAGGCCACATGCGAATTCCCTCCACGTAGCGCGCCACACAACGTTATAGTCAAACCTCTTTCCGATAACAAGCATGTTATTCGCTCCGCCGTCGCCATTATGGTCGGCGGAACATCCCATAACAAACATGCATATCAAAAGTAAGTGGAAAGCATGTTCTTTGATGTTTCCTTGTACATGAAGTGATCAGGTTGTGTGTGGAACATGTGGACAAACTATCTAGACCTCTCAGGCACCGTGCACAATTCCCGCACCAGGATATTTCCTGGCTCAGGCAGTCCACTGGTGCATGTGTAGGGGCAGGTGAGGAAAACCAACACTAGACAATCAATTACCACGGTACATCAACACATTGAATACTATAGTAAATCAGACGCACTTAAATTTACCATGTCACGGTAAAAAATCGCAACTTAGAAGGTTGCCAACTGAGAGAAAACCTCGACCCTCGTGATGAGTACTGTATTTATGTTGAGTGACTGGCCTGAGGACCGAGAGTCAAGCTCAGTGGTACTTTCACGGGATTGTTATGCACGTGGGGTCCTAGCCGCCGTCAGGTAAGTCTAGTATATGCTATGCTGGTCGGGCCATGTGTGGCACGCGTAGCATTGTCCCCCAAGACCACCTCCGTTTGAACTGGCATTGTCTTGTCATCGGCATCTTGTGGGTAAGGACGGGGAATTGTGCGCCAGATGTCGCGCAAGTCTGATTCAATATGAATTAATTCAGGTACAGATCACCGGCGCTGTACCTACCCCGTGGAGCACACGGTGGTTGTCGTTCGCGAAGATCCAACTCTTACACAATACCCACTGACCTTGTATATAGCCACGTACACGACGATAAAAAGTCATTTCTTTTAAAAAGTTATTGTAAAAAAATCCGTGTGCTTCCTTCTTTCTCTTGATCACCATCTCTGTGCTTGTATTTTATTTTCATTTTTGATCATGATCGGACAGATCTTGTTCTTTGCCATGATTTTCAGTTTTTCGTGTAGACGGAGGGAGGTTATTCAGTCTGCCCGTAACGCACCTGTTTTTTCATTTAAGGGCCTGTCTAAGTGTCCTTCGCGCAGAGGTTTCTAACTGGGTTGTTTCCCGCCACTGGCTTGCTGCTTACACCTCATTGTTCAAGACTTCCATTTAAGGCGAATAAACAGTCGCATTTTCCACTGCTTGTAATTGTATCGTTAGCCCTTCATCTTTTACACCTTTCTAAGTGCTTTGGCGGTCCAATGCCATTTCATGTCCAAAATGTGTTTGTAGGAACGAGTCATCTTATTCAGATAGGATCGTGTGATGCACGACCTTGACCTTCTTCATCAACACTCCGGTGCAATCCTGAAGAATGGAGAAATCTTCACTGTGAGAAGAGCTTTCGGACTATGAAAACGGACCCAGATCGTGACCTAAAATTTTCCCAATGCCCCTAAAATTTATTTCAGAAAACGAAACCCGAACAGTGCTTCCGTTAAAAGGTAGAACGACCTTACGATGTTTGTACAAGGAAGTGTCTTTCCAACCAGACTACGAACCAAAAAAGACTGGAATGAGATAACTGAGATCGGAATTGTATGAGAGAATTGGCAGACGAGAGAAAGGGCTAAAGATCAGAAATTTAAAAATTGTCCAGATCAAGGAGTCTTTCCTGTGTTAAAAACCTGTCATAATGAAAACCAGGCCTCTCCGACGAAACAGTTACTGAGGCTTATAACCGCAAATATACAAAGCCTCTTCAACAAACCCGACGAACTAGGAGGCCTAGTTGATTAAATAAAACCAGACATTATGGCTTCCACAGAAACGTAGCTTACTGAAATATCGCAGATTCAGAAATATCACTTAGAGGATATCGACAAGTTAGAAGAGACAGGCTAGGCCGAGGGGGAAGAAGAGTGGTCATAATTTATATCCTTTGCAAACTGACCGCTATGGCAGATGTACATAGTATTGCACGGGATGCGGAATTGTTAAGTATTACCATACCTACTAAGAATGTCCGACCACTGACGCTTTCGGTGGTGTTCCGTTCACCTAACCAGACTTCCGACCAAGACCTCATGCTCATAACTGAACATTACAAAGCCAGTGAGAGGAAACATGTCCTTTTTGTTGGGGATTTCAACGCCCCGGGATTGATTGGCAAACGTGGGATGCGCAAAGGCCGCAAGTCAACTTTAATTACAAAGTACATCAATGGGCAACGGACAAACTTCTCCGCCAGAACGTTACCATTGGAACGCGGGCTAAGGAAGGTTAACAGTCAAATTGCCTTGGTCTTATTTTTACCCAAGGGAAGGAAAATGTTAGACCTGCAGGACCGCCTGCCGTTAGAGTCAAGCGACCACATGATGCCCCTCTTCGAGTGTTCACTGTTTTCCAAACTAATCCCGCCCGATAGGTGGAAGATTAACCTTTGGGAGGGGGACTATCCTCTCATGAGGAGAGAAGCGGCAGCGGTATAAATTAAATTAAATTATTTTTATTAAAGACCCGTCGGGGTCCCATCAAAGCAAGTAAAAAAAAATTTACATGCGAAAAATCTGTACAAAACGCAAGACATAGTTTTTGAGATTAGAAGACTGCTAAGAAAAATGATAAGCGAGGGGTGAAAAAAAACTCCATAGAAAAATTTAAAAATGATTGGATTAATTGAACAGGAGAAAAAAACCCTCGAAAAAATAGAAACAGAAAAATGCGGGCACGACTGGCCTGCATGTGGCGGTATAGAATGGATTACAGTCGGACATCAATAGGGCCGAAATAAATGACAGCTGTATATGGCATTGTATAACGGATTTCATGAAGGGGTAAGTAGGCGGGTCGGTCAGGACTGGCCTGTATGTGGCCTTGAATAAGGCAAATAAGTGGCGACATTGAAAACCAGTCTCGAGCTGATAGGAACCCAGATGCGGTCGGTTACATTCAACGGAGTCCATCCGAGGATGGGGCAAGGGAGATGCGACCAGACTACTAGTATATGGCGAATACAGAAGGTTCTGTCAAGAGCGTCGATAGATCGCATTGTGAGAGGGCATGATGTATGGACTGAAAAAGCGAAAAATTAACATTTCTGATGAGGGATCTTAGGAAGCGAG